TTTTTTTTTTTTTCTTTTTTTTTTCCCTTTTAAATGAAGATATACTGTGGTATTTTTGTCAGGATTTCACTTTTTCAAAGTCTGTTACCTGACTTTGAGGGGCTTCAAAGGCCGTGCTCTCTCTTGCAGTGACAGCTTTCAGCTTTCTGTTTCTGTTGTTTTTATAGCAACATTTGGTGCAAGGGGACTGTACAAGAAGTAATAATAAATATAATTGCAAAATGCTCATTGTTGTATTTTTTTTCATGACTGGGTAGAACTGTTTTATTTTTGCTATGTGATTCGTTTCAAGACAGGATTATGCCAAGTTCTGTCTTATAATCTTTGGAGATTCACCCTTGGGAAATGCTTCATCACAGACTTGGCAGGAAACACTCAGCCATTGTTTCCTCAGAATTCATCCGAAGAAAGTGCCTTTAACTGCAAGGAAAGTCAAGCGCTTCAATTTGGGAAAATGCCATACTTCCTCCCTGCCCCCTGCAATTTTGTAAGGAGTCTAAGCGCTCTTTTAGTGTCTTAGAAAAGAATATGATATATTGAAATATTTTTTCTTTTTCCCTCTTAGGAAATTTCTCAGAGTTCTTCCTCTACCAAGTGAAAACTGGAGTGCTTTAGTTGAAGAATGGTGTTGTCACCCTAACCCCTTTGCCAGAAGCACTTTGCACCCTCAGCATGATGACTGTTTTCTTGGAGATACTTTTTTTCTGTTGAATTCAGGAAATGAATTACATATGCCTGAGTCTCCCATGTGCTGCTCAGAGACTGAACACTGTACTTCTCAGAGTGGCTCCAATTTGGTAAAGTATTTTGTGTGAATATTTCTTAAGTAAACGTATTTAGACGTTTTTTCGTTGTGAAACACTTTTTTGCAGCTGGTTTATTTAACTTGTATGTATTACAGAGCTGTTTTGAAGGTCATGGGGAGTTGTTGACATTCAGTTGTACAGAAGCCAGAAAATATTCTAAGCTGTGACTTACATTTTCTAAAGCATGCACCATGGTCTTGATATTGACCTAGATATGCAAGCAGAACTTCTTCCTGTAAACTGAATTAGAAACTGTAATTGTGTAGTTCTAAACCCAAATGTTTCCCCCAAAAAATATCCTGAGTGAAGGATATCAACATTTAGTAAGATAATAACTGTAAAGGGTTAGATGTTTGTCAAAGGGTAGTGAAGGGAAGAATGAGGAGGAAACTGGAGTAAGAATACTTTTTCTTCTTGTTCAATGACTGGATGCATAACCACAAGTATGATCAAAGGAAGGTGTGATTTTTTTTTTTTTTTTCTTTCTTTTTTTTAGCTTTAGAAATATTTGGAAAAATTAGAATTGTTTTGGGTTCAGATGTGGCTGTCTTACAGTCTTAGAATATAGTAAGGAAATTGAGTTTGTTTGACTGCTCTGTCTAGTGAAAGGGACTTGCCACCCCAGGTTATAACTCTTCATGTTGATGTTTCTGAGGTGTTGCAGGAGGGGATTCACCCATCAGATGAGCCTCTAGGAAGAAGGCTATCATTTGGCTTAGAAACATCGAAATTTGTTGTTGCCCAGGAAAAAGACCATTTGTAGGCATACTGATGGTGGGATAAAACCCATGAAGAAAGAAAATTCAGTGCTTTACTCACCTTGGAAATCTAGCACTTGTATAAAAGTTCAAGCAGTAATCTTTTCTTCTACTAGAAGAACATCCAGGAACTAAGTTCACTAAAGCCTACATTTCCATAAAGCCTTTTCTGTTAATCTACTACTGTCTGTATTTGTGCTGACAAAGGCTGGGCCTGCAGATACCATCGTTTCTTCCAATACCATGGATTAAACCTAATTACTGAAATCATTTGACAATTAATGGGAACCATTGCTGCCTTGGCAACTTATGTCTATAACAGCTGATGACTTGCTATGTACAGATTTCCAACATGAAACTTATAATGTGTTGAGAAGGAACACAAGAGACCCTGATTCCTGCCTGCTACTTATCGTCATTATGGATTTGTATTATCCCCAGTTAAATCACTGGGATTCTCGCAGTTCAACGGTTGCCAGTGCAATGGATCCAAGCGAGCTATCTGCTTGGGGAGCAGTTCTGCTCTACAGTATCTGCAAGTCTTGCAGCTGTGGTCCCTTTGGTTTCTTGTTCCATTTTTCTTTGAAAAGCAGAATATGAGGAGGGAAAAATAAGAACTGATACCCTGAAAGGATATCATCATGGGATAAACAGATTAATTTGGATTAACTCTGTGGCGGTTATAGTTACATCTTCTAACTATCCTTAAGAAGGAGGCCGGGCAGAAGATTCCAAATTTCCAAGAGGAAAATGCTTTCTGCCAGAGGTCCCCAAAATGAATTATCTCACATTTTGGTAGTCTCAAAAGAGATCTAGAACAATGGAAACGAAGATGGGAAGAGGCAGGGTACATGGAGTCCATACTGCAGCCCAAAGGCAGGGGAGCAGTTCTCCCAACACACATTTTCAATCAATCAAAGAGAATGTTTGCCAGAAAAGGGTTGTTTTTGAGGCAGAAACATGATAAAAGGATGTGGGAGAAAGATGCTACTGAGATGTGGGTCAAACCAGGACAACAGCAGAACTTTTGAATGAAAGAGGAGGCTATTTTCTGTCAAAGGCATACAATAGTAGTTTAGTGTCATGAATTTTCATGTTTGATTCCTTAAGCTTGCATTGAAGTTAAGGATTCTTTCCTTGTGTGAAATGTCTTTCTACATCTTCCGCAGTTGCAATGAATTCTCATTTCTGTGTTTGCTTATTTCCAGCATCGCTCAGTTGCCAAGCAAATGAGCAAAACTGTAACATCCAGCAGAAACTGGACTAATAAGGAAAAAAACCCCTCATACTGAAAAGGAAAATTCTTCCATAATACGAATAATAGAAAGTTACAGGCAAGATAGATTGCTATTGGCATAAATGTTCTCATTTCAGAGAATATTGTTGCAGTCTGCCCCTGTATGAAAGTTCTTTTTTAATTGCATTGCAGTTCTTTGGAAAG